TGTAACAGCTCAATCAACCAACACAGAGCCTGACAACCCTATACGATTAGCAAGATTTGTACAGGCTTGTAAAGGCCTTGAATTTTATGGTCCCTCTTGAAAAGCCTTGATTTTTAGTGTCAACCTTAAAAAGCCTTTAAAATCACCAGAATAGCTTCAAAAGCCTTGAAATTGTACAAAATGACATAAACATGTTCATAAAAGTATTAAAATGCACAAAACTAATAGTTACATACCAAGGATGTTTAAGTGTGATTTATCACAGTGATAGATTTGACACTTTGCCAAACACCTTGAAGAATTCATGACAGATTTAATTTGTTTCATTTGTTGGTTGTGAAAATCAATCTTGTTTGAAAATCTGTGATTAGGTCTTAATAATATGTTGTGTGGTCTTACGACTCATATACAGTATGCTGGACTTTGAAAAGTATTGACAGACTGAACTCAACTAAAAAAGCCTTGAAAATGACACTTGAAATGTTATCTCTTAATGTCTTGCACCCTGTGAGAGGCGACCAAGTGGATTGGGTGGTCAGACTCTTTGACGTGTCATTGAACCCCTATGGTGTGTATTTTTGCTAACAGGTGCAGGAAATGGAGTTTAACAGAAATGGAGTTTAACATCACATTCAAGATTATTGCACTTATACAGCATTGTGCATGTGTGCGTGTGTGTGTGCGTGCTTGTCCTAGTCTGGATTAAGGCCGATTTTAGAGAGCTAGCCCACTGAGATACCATGCCGCAGTTTAACATAAATACCCCACTCAGACCCAGTATACTGACCCCGGGCTGACCAGTCCTTATTTTAGCCCCTTAAACCTGAGCGCCAGGCAGGGTACCATCTTTTAATGTCTCTTGGTATGATGTGGTCAAACCCCTGACCTTCTGCTCTTCGGGCAGGTGCTCCATCCACCAGTCTACGAAGGCGGTCAAAATGACAGTAATGGGTACAAATGAGCGTCTCAACATGGCTTTCATGTCACTTAGTTTGGTCCAGACCAATCTCATTAAAATCAGAACCTTGTTCTCGCTCCTGATAACCAAGGTATCTTTGTGTAATCGTAGCGAGCACAAAGATTGGATTTTAATAGGTCCAGACTTGATTATTTGCAGCATTAAACAAGAAATAAACAATCTCACAAGCACTAGGCTGCTTGGGACCTATTCTTACCCCAAGTCCCTAACTGGGTTGTACATTGAGACATTGATGAACTAATGATTCAATAATAAATGCAACATATACAGGGACTGTCATGGATGATATATAAAGTTTTGGACCAAAAACTTCATAGGTTCTCTATCGGTACTGACAGATCACTGCAACCTGGACCCATGAAGTTCTGGGTTAGAATAGGTCTTCAGCAACCCATTCTTGTCTTTAAGAGGCGACTGACGTATTCAGTATGGCTGACTTGGTAGACGCATGTCATTGTATCCCAAATGTGTGGATCGATGCTCATGATGTCAATCAGTGGATCGTCTGGGCCAGACTCAATTATTTACAGATCGCTGTCATATAGCTGGAATATTGATAAGTGCGGTGTTAAGAAAAACAAAATACCCAAAGCAAAAACAAATGCAACCTGTCAAGATTGACAAGAATTTTAAGAGCACTTTTTGGTAGACAGCTGAATTGGCCCAATCTCATTAAAATCAGATCGTAGTTCTTGCTACCGTTAAACAAAGATCTGAGGACATCCCATTAGGGGTCACGTCAGAACGACCTTTCATCTGACCAATCACAGCGTCACTTACCAGATCATGAAAGTGACAGTCAGAATGTGATTTCTAATCATGCATCCTAGAAAACATTTTACACGGGGTATTCCGAACGATAGTTACGGGGTTAATGACTGAATCCATACAATCTAGACCATATATTTGCCATTCCAGAATGTTCTTTTGTTCAGGTTTAAAAATTTTAATCGAGAATTTGTCAAAATATGTTTCAAGCGTAGTCGCCGATTTGAAATTAGTGCCGTAAAGCATGAGTAAGCTGCCTTCTGATTGGCTAGTGTCGACTTCTTGTCAGTCATTCCATTGGTCGATCAAAGTTTGCGCAAGGTCGGTCTGACATGACCCGTAATGGGATGTCCTCAGATCTTTGTTTAGCAGTAGCTAAATGATTTTTATGAGATTGGAATTGGCCCTGTCGCACATTGCAACCAGCCCTTCTCGGTGAAAAAGGTTAGGGGGAACTAGGTTCAGTTGGTAGTCCCAGTAAATTTGTTTTAAGTCCGACTTTGTCTAAGGGCTAGTGCACAGTTTCACACAGAGTATTAACTACAGTGTCTAGCTCTGGACTGGATCTCCCTTAAGAATAACAGGGCTGTTTGGAACCTGTCCTGGAACTCACACAGGCAGGACTGATTACTTAAGTAATCACATTATTTTCTGCTACAAATCAACTTGTCATTTATCATATTGGAAATTGTAGAAACTGTATTGTCATTTTGAAACATCCAAGTTAGCAAGTTCATGTAGTGAGAAGGGTCCATGTATCCAGTATCATGCCTCTTTAAAGTGACATGGCACAGGGTGTGGCTAGTGATTTAAAGATAGTCATCAAGCCATACTAAAAGGCTAAAAGCCTGTGCAATGGGTTTTCGTTACATAATGCCAACACCAAAGACGTTTTTGAAATTACCACTTGATGGCTGCCTGTAAGGTGTGGGGACTTGCTGTGCAGCGTTGCATCCCCCAGCCTGAACATTTTAAGAGAGAGTGAGTATGATTTTACGCCGCTTTTAGCACTATTCCAGCAATATAACTGTGGGGTACACCAGAAATGGGCCTTATACATTTTACCCATGTGGGGAATCAAACCCGGTCCTTCGGAGTGATGAGCAAACACTACCCTACCACCTCGAACATTTTAGGAACTGCTGGTCTTGGTTTCAAATCCCAGATTTGCCCTGATTATGATTCCTGGTTTGTCAGCATTTACTGGAAAACATCCACAATCTGCTTCTCTACTGGCCGTCCTCCAGAAATGAAGCTGTCACACTAAAATACTGTTTGAAGCCATAGCTCACACACTTTACTGCCTGCATGTGCTCTCTAAAAAACTGTTTTGTCCGTAATCAAAATTGAAACAATAGGGATGCTGAAGAAGTGTTTCGATTTACTGGTATTAACACAACATACACCTACTCAGTATTCACCTGATGAAGAGGCAAGAAGTTGCCCCGAACATCAATACAAACAGAAGAAGTTATCCATTTAAATATAATACTGTCTTCATCATGTTCTTGTTCTTCCTATTTGCTAAATGCCTATAAAAGACTTGGTATTTACCAGTTCTTGACCTGTAAAACATACATGGACTGGAAATTTCATTGAAAAATACTTTAGTGTCGGGTCATCTCGGCCGTATTAAAATAGCTACTGGTCAATATGTCTGGAAACACTGAGACAAACCGGGACAACGCTGAAACTCAAGCCATTTCATTTGGGTTCAAACTCATCCTTGCTCAGCCAGGTCACCAGACACACCAGACACAGCAGTAGCCGCAGTACCAGTGCTGTTCTGATTAACTGAAATAATCAGAGATTGATCCGAACATCCACACAACCAAGCAATTGAAAGCAATATTTCATAATTAAAAAAAACACAAACAAAATTGCCACCTATCTCAAGTTCTATGCTGATCTAATCTTTGAAAAAAAGATTACACACAATATTGCGACGCTTTTTCAAAACCTGGAAATAGTTTTGGTTTATTGGTTTTGGTTTATTCACTACGTACTACTTGGGAGTGAGACAATGAGAAAGTGCTGAAGTAAGTATTTGTGTTTGTTTTTGTTAGGCGTGGATCTTGTCTGCACTTACCACTGAAAAATAGCAGAATAATGGTAACGGTTCTTTTTTATGATTGATTGGTTGGGATGATCCAATCATCAATCATGATTCCCAACCATATTCCCAACACTTGGCAGTACCCTGTGACTGCATTGCTCACTCCCCTTGTTTAAAGGGCAAGTTCACACGGAAATGAACCAATTTTTCTTGTACTTTTTCCACATTAAAAGTGTTGACATAGAAGTGTCATAGACAAAAATATAAAAACATCAAATTTAATTAACATATTTTTTGCATTAAAACGATTTATATTTTTCACTTTTACCAAGTGTTCTATTTCCATAACAAAAACACCATGGCTTATGCCCCTTGCAATATGACGTCATTGGTGCCAATTGATAAACATTATGACGTCATCATGCTTTGTTAGAGCCGCTTCACGTGGTGTAGGTACAGTTTTGTGATTCTAGCGTCTCAGATGCCAGCCAGAATTGTGTTATGCTGAGTCACCACTGCACCGGAGTGTGTCGTAGACCATGTTGTTTTACCGCAAACTGGTCGTTGATATCTTTTGCGTTGAGAATAGACAGGGACCCAGTTGAATTGGCACCAATTACGTCATAATCTAAGGGGGATAACTCAGGCCTATTTCGCTCGTAAAACGAAGGCTTCATAACGGCATATCATTTTCACACTATTGTGAGCTTCCTACTTTCACTGTGAAACAAAATGAGTGTATATTTTCAAACACAGATACTAACTAATTCTAAAATTGCGTTTTGTTTAGAAAAAGAAAGAAAGTGATTTTTGCGTGTACACTTCCCCTTTAACAGAGTGTGAATATAGCATGTACATATATGGTCTGAAGCTATGACTGTGTGGGTGAGTGCTGTTTTGCACCCGACACCACTTAAAACAATATTTCAGTTATATTACGAAGTGCCAGTTTCATTTAGGAGGAAAGCTCATGCAGGTTCTAGTTTACCACAATGACATCCATGAGTATGAGTACGGGCTGGCAATTAAGGATTTTCTAGGATCCAGGCATAAGGGATGTAACTCTGCATGAGAGAGACTCCCTGTGTCCCTTTGATGCACAAACATGACATTTACAAACTCCTTGTAGAAGTAAACAAAGTAATCATAAGACAACCTCTTAATACTGGTGTCATGTGTAAACACAGCACAAAACGCTACAATTAAACACATTTTAATAACTGGTCAATAAACATGTGAATAATTCATTCCCTGAATTATGGCAACAAGTAGTCTTCATTATCTGAAAATACTCAAATATAATAGCTTTTTCCAAATCCATATAAGTATTACACTATGTCAAAGGTCCCCAAAAATAACGTTTTGATTATGTGGAATTAAGTTCATGAACCACATGGCTCTCAACATTTCACTCGAGGGTAAAAGGGTGCAACTTTCTGATTCGGCATCTATGTGGATCTTGAAGAGACAACTTTGTACAAATAGGCGTCATCACAGACGAAACACTGCACACATCATCACCCTTGAAATTTGTCCATACACTGTCTTATTCAGTCATCCAGGCACAAGTTGCAGGATATTTCTCATTGATAACTGCCACGTAGTCTGACATCATAGGCATTGCATACATAACCACTATTCTATATACCACTGATATATCTTCCATGCACAGAAAGCACCTGCACAAAGGGACACAGTATTGTGAAGAAGTTTGCGCCGTTTGTCGTCTCGCCTAACTAACACCACAGGTGTGGTAGTAGTCAATGTGTGCACTGGGATTTTCTTAATCCGGTTCTTATTGTGTTCGACTTGATATTTACAACATGGATCAAACTGCCAGGAGATGGCATATACTCCTGCACACAATACACTCATGGAACCGAGCGGCAGAAACAGCAGGCCTCTCTTGGGCCAGCAGCCTCCTGATATTAGAGCACCAAGTCCAGTCAGGACTGATGTTTTGTGCAGACAGTTGCCTACACTGATCCAATGAGCTGTTTCATCCCCGAGTTTGGAAGGCTCTATGATGATAATCTTGGCATTAGCATCCAGGGCTTTCTCCAGCTCCAGCTCAAATTCCTCCTGTGCGTCCTCATGTTCGTAGATCTCTCGTACTACCACATACTCAGGAGGACCACTTCTGGAAGCAAAACATATGATTGGTCAGACAATAACAAAAAGTGGTAATATGAGATAACCTATAAGGGTTGGACTCATGCTGAAATTGTAATAACTTTGCAATATATGCAAGTGGGAATTTGGTGATACTTAGTGTTGATTGGTCAGTTGAAGCATGTGATCATAATGACATCATTCTCACTGATTCAATGTTAAGAATGATGTCATCCATTGCTCCTGATGTCACTAATTGATAAGATTATGTCATCTTGACAATATTCGACTTCAGTAAAGTTGCTCTGTAGTGTTAACATTTCATATGTTTACTTTGATTTCATTTCCTAAATCAACAATGACCTAGGTACAGAATAACCTACTCAATAACCTATAGAATGGCCAACATTATGCATGTTGTGTCAAGGGTATGGAGCTGAAGATGAATATGTTCACTCACAATGTAAGGACATATTGCGGTCTTCAGTTCAGTTATCATTAGCATTGAAGCCAGGATATGCATCACATCCAAATACGTGTACTGTGAATATTTTCACACATATGTAAAATGATTCTTCACTAAAAACATTCAGCTTTAAGAGACATTGACAATGCAGAAAATCTACATTAACAGGGCATATATGAAAGCCAAAGCATGTAGTGCTGATCACAGTAAAAAGAATAAACTAATAAAAGATAACATTGCTCAAACCCCATGCTTGATACAAATCTAATTTCATGACACATGCAGCAGGGTTTTACCTGACTTATGAAAATGAGGGACCCACAATAATTAATTTTAAGGGTCCTTGCAGGCAATATTAGGGTCCTGTAAAAAAATGAAATGGTATTGTGTAATGTGGATTTTGATAATTACTTTAGAGCTTGGAAAAAAACAATGATCACGTCGACAGTGGTCATGATTGATGATTTATTGTGCAATTTATCGCAGCATATTCTTTTTCTGCATCCAATCACAACATTTGTGCATACCATGCCATAGCATAACATGAATACCCTACTCATACACAGTATAGTGATGCTGAGACGACCAGTCCTTGTTTAATGCCGAGCAATAGGCAGGAAAACAACAAGCACAATATAGCTGCATGAGGGTCATGTTTATGTACTGATCCTATATACCGGTCCTTGATACAAGATACCTTGTCAGTTGCTACTACAAATAACTTTCGTTGTCACTGCTGGATTGAAAGGTTTTAAGTGGCTGCGTACATGGAATCAAATTTCTTAAAATTTCCATTTGACATAAATTGGCAAATTGATAGAAATGTAGAGAGTGAGAGTGTGTTAGGAATATGGTTATATTCCGCAGTCAACAATACTAGTACAGGTACATCTTGGTGTCTTGTAAATAATCAAGTCACTATGTAACTGAAGGCATGAACAATGGTCCAAGCCATTGCTGCAAGATGACATGCATTCAGACAAGACACCAAGCCAGACAATGTGATCCTCTTGTATAAGTTCTTACAAACATAGGATACTGAAACCTCACAGTAATTTTGATTCACCATTCCCAACTGCCATTCAAGCACAAGCTAAGACAGGAATATAAAGATCATTTTGTCAAGAAAGAATAATTGGTGTTTTCTTTTGTTATTCTGTGTCTTTAAATGACACGCTAAATGGCATCCAGTTACTGTTCAAAATCAATATTATTTACAGTTAGAAAATGAAAATAGGCCTTGGATAAAATCAGCTGATTTATCGTGCGCTATGGTATGACATTGATACATAACATACCACAACCACGAGAACATTTACACCAGACAAGGTGATACTCCGGTTGGTTTCTCTAACAGTCTCTGACTTACTCTTTACAAAGGGTTTACGCAAATCCGTTTTTAGAATTTAAATACCTCAAAGTTAAGTTTTTCAATTAGCCTAACTTTCAATACACAAACAAACACAACTGAACTACATTCGTTATCAGCGACAAAATTAAACAAAATGTTTTCTGTTAAGTACAATCATAAACAAAGTCTTCGGACGCCTATCAATAAATATAAGACTTATAAAACTTTAAGTTTATACCTTGACTTATCCGCCATTTCGGTCAAACGAGAAGGGGCATAACTCCAAATGTATAACGTTTATTGCTAAATTGCGTACCGCTATTATTATAGATTTTCTCTCCTTGAACTTCTTTTCGTTTATATATCATAAAGACTCCCTGTTTTAGATATATTGAGATCATTATTGAATACCCGTTATTCTAATCTGTGTCTTAGCGCCAAAAGATATACCGTTTTATACCTTTAAAACCAATTACGACTGGGGTGAGTGAGTGAGTTCAGCAGTATCACTGCGGGAAACGAATGTGGGTAATCGAACCCGGGTCTTCAGCATTACGAGCAAAAGTAAAAACCGCTGTATTACCATCCTCTAAATCTCCGGGGCTCGCATTCCTGTTAGTGTAGGTTTACCGAAATGCGAGCCTCGAAAATAACGAGGATGATAGATTACCCTCACCGCCCTTGTCGGAATCAAGGTAGCGTGAAGACTGAACTGAAACTTAACGGAAATTGTGTGCAAGTGAACAAAAACTGTTCATACTGTATGAAGTAAACCTTATTTAAAATCCTGGATGAGAAGTAAAAGCAATCAGGGTTATTCATGTGAAATATAATATTTAACTGTCAAATGTATGTGAATAATATTTCGATGGGAAAGCGTCTTTCAACAACAATTACATTCAATGTTTCCTGTTAATTTGAAAAAAAAGAAGAGAAATTCCCAATGATTATGTGTGCAACATTTTAAAGGATTTGAGATAAGATTACAAAATTGCATAGATATACAGTCATTCACATACTCCAGTATAATAGCCTAACCGGCAGCCGTAAGGCCAGGTTCACACAGTTCCGATTATGGCTCCCGTTTGAGATCAGACAGCGTTACGAAACGAAAAGTGGAAAGGTCGGATTACTATCCTCAATGATCTGCAATGTCCTATCATTGTCTGAACGAGGTCGTATGCGTTCGTAACGGGAGTCCTACGGATCGGGAAAGGTCCAGAGAGATCGGCCAAGCACTCCCGACAGTATGGTGCGTCCCCTAACATTCGGGAAACTCAGCCGATTTTGTCTAGTCGGATTACAATCGTGACTATGTCGAGACAGATTCTGCTGTATCGGTTCAAAATCGTAACAATGTCCTGTGTTGTCTGGACCGTGTTCTGTGGATGAACCGTCGTGGTGAACGGGCATGAATTGTTCATTGCTGTTTCTTGTCGATTGAGTCCAGATTGCGTCAAGATCTTGCCGAAGGCAAACCGTCTTTGTCGGTTCACTGTCCGGCCACTGTCTGATCTCTGTCGGATCGCATTCGGGTGAATCGGGACGCTGTCGGACAGATTCGGTCGGTTTTTACCATGCTGAAGATACAAATCGGATCAGATTCGGAATGAGAACAGGAGAATCGGGACGAATTCGGCTAAATCGGGACGCTTCCTGAACAATATCTGATTGTTTGTGAATTTCCCGCTACGAATCACAGGATCTTGATCAGACTTTTGACAAATTTTAACAGGGAATGTCCTACCAAGGACGGCAGTAAAAATCCTGAATGTGTGACTGAGCCCTTAGGTTAACTCTTATATGGAACGTTGATCGTACGTTTGTACGTAGGCCTATATGCAGACTTCATTGGGTTCTCAAATACTGTGCAAAACTGAATTAGCGTAAGATTTGAAACGTGACAAATATTTATGATACAAAACAACATCACCAGCTCTCGTGCTTTTGTGTTCTTGCTTACTTTAGTCATGACGCTACTTTGCTGCGCGCGCGTCCTGTCGACATACCGTTGTTAAACTGACCCCGGACAAGCCTGTTGATATTCTGGTGTAAAATTGCCCCCATACAAATTACTGTTGAGTTTCTGGTGTAAACTTTGACCTTGACACAAGCCAGTGGAGGTTTTAGTGTAAAGTTGGCCTCTGACGCAAGCCTGATCTTGCAGTGTAACGTGTTCCCCAGACACGAGGCTGTTGAGATGTTGGTGTTACATTTTGTTCGGACACCAATATGTCTGATTACACTTGGGTCGTGACACATATCCCGATGGGGCAGATCGATCCTAGTCTAAGTTCCCTTTTGGTACACGGGATACCGAGCCATGTCTGGATAGGATAGGATAAGTTTTATTCCATACTGAAAGGCCTCAGGCCCATAGTACAATTCTATAGGGCCCTGTTAATTGCAATACGCTGGATGCCCTAAAATATTTCTATATTGAAATACTCAATAAAATATTTAGCGCTATGCTGAAAATCCCAGACGATTATAGTTGTAAAGAGTTCTTAAACTGGATGACAAAACAAATTATGCGGTATGTCGGATGCCTTGAGAGGAGTAGGGGTTGGAGGTTGGCACCCTCTAGCCTCTGGGTCTTTATATCAATCTAAACTCTGATATGAAAGCGACTGCTATCACACGCGAGTTGTTACATGCATGCATACGGAACTTACATATGTTACATTCGAAACAGTTTTTAGACATTCTCAAAATGAGAACGCATTAACATACTACAATTACTTACTATACACTATTGTAAGATATTATTTAATGCTTAATTAAATTTCTGTCAAGTCACAAAGATAAGAAGCAAAACATATCCCTGTATCATAAAGTGTATTTTACTCAAACCGTTTATTGAACATGTACATTTAACTCTTTGTTTCGATCTTGTTTGTATTATGAGTCTGGGGCCTAAAGTACAGAATGAATTCTCTCTGTCTGTAGGATATGCTGTACGGAAGAACAGTTTCGTGATTGAGCTTGTGTTATGTGAAATTTATGCCTTAAATAAGACAAAAACACTCCATTTTACATTTTGTCACATATTGTAACCTTCAGATTCCACAAAGTTCTCGTGTAGTTTAAACAAAATAAATCTGCTTCCAAATGAACTGGAATATGTGTAATGGCCCTTTTCGGTGTCATGCGGTTTGCTCTGTCCTTCAAAGACACTCCATGTCTTGTCCCGTGACCGCAGTATACTCGGGTTCGCTCGGCTTATTCCGCTACTTTCACAATTTTCAAATTGCCCGATGCGCCGAGTGGTGGTTTGCTTTAAAGGGAGATAACTCCTGACTCCCTATTTTGCAACTTTACGTCATGATTAATTCAATACGTGTTCGTTATTGATTTGTTGTCACCTTTTCCGGATTATATTGCATTTCATTTTAATATATTGTCATTTATATATTGTAATCAGTAATGTACTGAAGGTATGCCCGTAATCAAAGGATATTACCATAACACTTGGACGGTTTACGAGGAGGCACATTTCGTTAGGGAATAAAGTAATTGACCTAATTTATTGTTATAAGCGTAAATAATGACAGTTCTTTAACTCCTAAAAGAGTTGTGAAAACGGACAAACATTTAGGGAGGGCAAATAAATTATCACATAATATTTTATTAGGGAAAATAATTACTTTAAAACAAATATTTAGTAAATAATGATCATGACGTTAAGAAATATGTTTTAAGAGACCAAAAATATAAAATCGATCCAAATATTTTATAAAAGGTATATCCTTATTCAAATCTAAACGCAACCAGACAAAGTTGCCAATTAACTAAACTGTCGGGCAATGAAAGTAAATTTATACACCCATGTTGATGGTAGCTACAGGTGAAACAATAAGAAATGGTATTTCATACGGGTATCATAAGTATGTTTTGGACCTGAAGCCTGCAGTGTTTTGGCTGTATAAAGGGCAGCCCAAAAGTAACAATTTGTCGTTAGGAGTTCAAGTTAGACAATCGGACAAAGAAATCTGATGAATTAATTCGTCGATATTTCAATACACAAAGGTGCTTTGTTTTTTCGTGGTCAGTAGGGATACAAAGTGATTTACAGGGTTACGAAGGTGTGTGTAGGTGTGTACCTGGTAAAAGGTGTAGTTATGCCCACTGTCAGCGACAAAAAAGGAACAGTTCAAAATTTCGATGTATGATAAAATCTTCATTCCTCAGGGTTAGTGTTAGTGTTGGTGTTGGGGGTGTTAATGTCCATGCAAGTTTTCCATCCGACAAAATCAACTCACCTGATTTACCTGTTTTATATAGTAACTAAACTAAGCAAGAAATGACAATGTGTTTTTTAGTAATACAAGTAATTCATTATTTATTTTCTTAATTAAGGGCTTTGTGTGTGTGTGTGTGTGTGTGTGTGTGTGCGTGCGTGTGCGTTTGCGTGTGCGTGTGTGCGTGTGGGGGATGGGGATGGGGATGGGATAGGGTTGGGGCGTGTGTGTGGGTGGGGTGGGGGATGGTGGTGGTGGTGGTGGTGGTTCTATAACTTAAGGAATTGAGTTGTTTTTTAATCCTACAATGAACTTGTTAACTGGTCCCTTACCTGAACAAAGCCCCGTAAAACCATAAGCCGCCTGTACGGTCAAATACATGTTTTATCAACAATACAAACACAAATTTATGCGACTCGGTGTGATTACTGCGGACAGATTAAACCTGCGCTCGAAGGATCTGGTGTCCAAAATGGCCACATGCATCCATCATGTATGTATGTGGGTGGCAGTCTTCGAGGAGCTTTGTCTATGTGTCACGAGGGTCATTTAGAGTGCCATCACGCCCCGTCAGTTTGGTCAGTGTACACGCTATCAATCCCTGGTTTTCCGGCTACCTGGTGACACAGACCACCGCAGGGTAGGTGTCCGCTTGCTCGCTGAAGATCAGTCCAGGGTCAGCAGATCGCTATCGAGTCGAGACAAATATAGAACTTTAATTATACATGCAAGTGATGTTCCTAGTTTTAGACGAAGGGGGTGCATTACCTTATCAAAGTTGTAGTGCAGTGAAACAAAGTAAGACCACGCCATTGCTTTTATTCCTACCACAGTTAATCGTGGTATACTTGTTGATGTCAATGTTCTCTTAACAATCGCCAGTAACCATCTTATCACATATATTCACATAAGTAATGTACTAAAGTTTCTTTGAGGGGCATTTAAAAGTTGGAGTACTAAGTAAGGATACGAAGGATGGTTTAAATCATGGGGTACCATGCAGGTATCAGATGAATGTAAGTCCCCATGGTCCCTAGTATGGTGGCCTAACTTTGGTTGCTGGCTATCTATAGTTCGGTTTATATTTTTTACATGTAATAATCGTACCTCTTTAACACTCGTTTGGAATACAAATCTGTGATAATCTAGTTATTTTACTGACCATCGTCGACTTGTTTTGTTTAATATGTGTAATTGTTTTACTTATGTTAGTCACTATATGGCTGATATCTTTTTTGATTTTCTCGTCACTGTAATGGCTAAAATACTGCCGATGTGACGTTAAATTTCAACTCAGTCACTACAGTGAAACTTCATTAAACAAGACGACACCGTATCCAGTGAACACGGATTAACACATTTTCGGATTAACGAAACATGGGTGCAGAGTAATGTTCACTCTAAGTTCCAAACATGATCACCTAGGAGACAGGATGTCCAGACTAACCAGGTTTCACGATATATAATTACATTGATATATATTTGTTAACTTTACCGCTTTTCTTGCCAGTAGCCCAATACCCAGACAATTCTGATGTATTTCTGATGAAAATTGGTATAGTATTAATATTGACTTTATGTCTACCATGACATTTCATCTTCACGTTCACCTCCAACTAATCAAGCGATAGTGCAATGGTGACTACATGTCAGTTTATGAAACTGGACGTTTCTATGAAAAGCTTTCTTTGAAACTTGCTTTCAGAATTACCAAACGATTTTAAAGGTGAATTTGTCACAGGCTAACATTGGCCAGTCCCAGCAGCAAGATGAAATCATTCAGCTACCGCCTGTTTCTGCTAACTCAAGTTGTCTGTTGCAGATGAATCTAGAAGTTGATGGTCATCACAATTACACAGCGACAATCTCAGTTATGCACAAGTTACAACTATACTAGAGAGAACGTACTCGTTGCTTGCTTTATTGTTGTTTAACGTCGCACTCAGCAATATTTCAGCTATATGTCATGTATCAACCAAGTCAACGAGCCTGACCACCCTATCCCGTTAGTCGTCTTTTACGACAAGCATAGTCGCCTTTACGGCAAGCATGGGTTGCTGAAGACCTATTCTACCCCGGAATCTTCACGGGTCTAGAGATAACTGTTCATACTAGAGATAGATTTCAAATGGGCAATGATCTTTGAGCCTACATGTATTGTCAAACTTCATTGCAACGGTATGGCAGCTATTTTTATTTTGTATTTTGTCCTATAATAGACCATATATTGGCATGTATCAACGCGAAACTGGATATTCGGTGTTCACATTTGGACGGGTAATTGTCAATGATATATATAGCGAAACACCTTTAATCTGGTCGGTACCGCTCTCTTTGATATTATACAAATTATTGTTAAATGCAAATTATTGTTAGAGTGTAATATGCCCTTTGTATAAAATTAAGAAAGATGTTCATCATGGTCACAGCCCAGATAACCGTGTTTCCGAACTAACAGGGTTTCACTGTATCATTTTTGTGTGAGTATTTTGATTTAGTGTAGCCATGACAACCACTACCACTCGGGTCCACTCGGCTTATTCCGTTTCCTATTTGACCGAGCACATTTAGGTTGAGGTGACCGAGTGAGCTACGTTTGTAGGGGTTTAAATGTACACATTTTAAAAATATAAAATTGAATATTTTTATATATATACTTATATACTCATATTCGCTATATATCTACAAGTATGGTATAGGTATTAATGGTAGGTATGTGTATTTTTTACGACTCATGGAACATCCGTCATAAAACATATGTCATGAAGATTGGATTTGAATGTTTTGTTTCAATATTTAAATTAGTGCTTGAACTATAGAGCATCTTGGATTTATTTAGTCATTTTGACTTTGATCTGTTGCCTCAATAATTAATAAATAACAATTAATTAAATAACATCAAATTAAGGCAACAGGTCAAAGTCAAAATAATTATATAGATCCAAGATGCTCTATAGTTTTTGTTATTTAAATAATTTTACTTATTAATTATATTTTCTTTAAATTTATTTTTATTTTGTATATATTTGTTTAATTATACTTATGGAGATATGTAAATTCAAAACTAATTCTTATTTCGCTATATTTCAGATTCGCTTTTACACCGACTACGTTTTTCATTTCCGCTTCCGTATTCGGCTGCTTGGAATCAAGGATGTGACATGTCACGAGTTTAAGTGATAATATCATGTATATTTCTTGTAGATAGTGAATGATTGTGGTCAGTTTCAATATGGGCAACTGCCTCAGGAAATGTTGTGGGCTGTTTGACAAACGGTAAGAATAAAAAACACTTAAAAATCTTCTGTGATTCGCATGTAATGTAAGAATGGAGGGCACGCCTCTTTTTTCAGTGATCACAACACGATCGACTTCATGTTTGTATATTCACTTACTTACCATGTATGCAACCTGATTTTAATTTGTTGTGTTTGTTATGAATAATATTGACATGTGAAACAATGATTTCCGGATGAAGTGAGTATAAATGCGTGTGACGGTCACTTGAACCGACCGAGTTGAGATCTGTAGTGTATTGATCTGCTCACGGCAGATGGAAAAGTGCATGGTCTGGCGTATTTAAGCCTGACTCACTGGCACACTGACATTTGTAAAACACAGTGTTACATGTTAACTAAAAACGTGCAACAATGGCCATTGTTGTGTGACGTTTGCTTGTCAAAATCTGTATTTCATCATATTTTCCATTTTCCAGAAATGTTTTCTAACCATATGCATTAGGTTATTAATTTATTTTTTCAAGTTGAGATATTTTACCATGATGTCAGGATTTGTGTTTGTATATTCTCAAATGGTAGTTGGTACATTGGGTTATTTGGTTCTGTAGAACATGTACAGTATAATACTGGAAGATTTTGCTATAAGATGTACATGATCTATCTCTTATGGATTACGGGGGACTTGGGAACTGAAACAATTCACTAATTTTCCTGATATCATTCCTATGTTATGATACACGCTGTCTTTTGTTCTGAATTCTCATACCTAATGTCATACACTATTTGCAATTATTTTCAACAGGCAGAATGTTGAACTGATCAACTGTTTGTGTTTCAATCTCATCTAGTGTGATTTAGTACCTTAGTTTACTGATTAATTTTATTTTCAATCGAATCATGTCTTGTACATGTATATATTGTTTGGTGTAATATCCTTAATCTATTTACTGATGTTCATCATGGTAGATCTCCTCACCATCATGATACCTTGTACCATTTTTTATTGGAAATATGTCAGTAAGGTCACAAAACTGAATATCATATGTGGAGTGACACTCAATCTTGAAATTGCAATTGTCCCAAGGGTTACTTTAAAATCAATGTCATTAAAAATCATATATTTTACTCCGATATGATGCCTCTCTGCATGGACACGCTGCATGGTTGGGTGACGACACACCCATCTTTTGAGTCTGATTAAACCTTATTGCACTTAAACTGCCCAATCTAAATGAAGGGTGTGCACCTTTAAGACCATTCAGATTAACTTCTTTTCAACCTTGATTCGACAATTTTGATTTGAACCCCAAACACAAAATTACTTCAATGGAACTTGGGTTTGGGCATAGATGTCATGCCACTCAGAAACAATGGCTGGGTCAGATATCCACAACAATATGATGTGGCCTGCCTTAGCTATTTACATTCAGAACTGGTTGTTTTGAGTTTGTTTTTGAGATACAGAAATCAGATATGCTGGTCTGAATGCTTTGATCATTCCTCCCTAGAATTTAGAAGCCTCAGTGCTGATTGGAAAGTTCATGTGACACGACCTCCTATGGAGATGTTGCCATATCTTTTACGCAGACATGTGTCGTATCAGAGTAAAATATTAAGATATTGCAGCGATAGAAACTAACAGGTTTGAACCACTAGTCCTTATAATGATAACTTACAGGGTTCCCTCGCTATTGCGCTCTTCAATATAGCGCTTACTCGGTTATAGCGTGCGGTAAAGCATGGCTCCCAAAATTAACTAACATTTTTAATAAACTCAAGTTTTCCAATGTCATGATGTTTTCCCCCCATCTTAGAAAACATCAGCTGTTCACGGCGATCACGTAACACCTGAAATGCCAGTCAACAAATCCGAACTGAAGTACGCAATTTGGTCCTATTATTATAATATCTGATTATAAAAAAAGATTTAATTGTTTATCTGGACTAATGTTTGCAATATATTTTATTAATTATATTCAAAATTTCATTCAATAATTATAATGATGTTTACAATAATTTCGGTGACATCTAAGCGAAATGATCGGTAGATCGCACAACTCACCATTATTTATAGCAATCATGGTCAGATTACTGCTATTGACGCCTTGAAATGAATTTTAGTTGCAAGAGAATGGATACACATATCATAAATGCTGTACCATGACTTGCTAAAAGTCATATTTGAGGCAGTTTGACTATGTTAACATAACATTTTCACAATCGAAATACATGTTGCACGGGAAGTCCCTAGGGTGACCGGTCCAATTGTTCCATACATAAAAGAATATCCTGCATATCACCTGTACCAAAGTGCTACGCTTATGATTCTTATGATTTTAAGTATATATATATAGTGGAAGCTGCAACTAAAAAAACACGATATTGGAATATATTATTGAATTTATTCCTGATAAAATAATTTCAGATACAATTTCTTCCAACCATTGAATAAAAAATCTTTGAAGTTGTATCATTGGGTACTTTTAAACTGAATAACCGGTAGATTGGGAGGAAACGTGAACAAAGCTGATTGCTATTTCCGGCTTACGAGAAAATACACATGGTAATCTTAATCTTTGCATATAAAACAATGCCTTGGAGAGCAGGAAATACATTTTAAATGGTAAATAATCATGTCTAGTGATGTTTTATATCAAATTTCATACTTTTATTGACCAAGTTTGTTATACCTGTTTATTCACCTGAATTCGCTGAAGGGATACGCTGGTTTTTTTTTGAAAGTGCATATTAATATCATAAACAACTTCTATTCTATTTTTTTTTAAACTCTGAAACGTGCAACATAGATAGTGTAAGGTAGGCAGAGCATGTTTACTGTTTTGTTGGTCATCTACCACCTACGATTCGACCTCTATTAAACCGCTGACCATCTATAACACTCATCAATTATTTGGACCCGAGGGTAGCGTTGTAGCCAGGGATCACTGTAGAGGAAAACACTTAAAAAAAGGAAAATTTTTACTAGTCCTTATCATACCTTAACTGTTGGGCAGTTTGGCAAGGACTATAGGACTAGTGCCAATATCTAATGCTGTATAGTTGGAATATTGCTGAGCATATCATTAAACCATACTCACTCACTTAAGTCAAAGCTTTGCATAAAATGTAATTGTTTCTTACTGTTTGTTTCAGCCGTAAGTATCTAAAAACTAGATACAATGTGGAGAGGGATTTTTCCATTGAGGTAAGTCTTACCAGGGTATATCATTGTATATCATTTGTGATGCAAGTGTTACCATATTGTATCTTACTCATCTAACCATGCTTAAATGGATTTAATCATTGCTCACTGGGGACAGAACGTGCATTCGTATTTATGAGGGCTTCAGCTTTTGAAATGATTCTGCTCTGTCACCAACATTCTATTTCTTTTGATGTAATTACCTTGCAGTGTTGTAAAGGCACCTTAATATAAAATAAGCAACATTTACAAAAGTGACAATTGTTAGGTGCGTGAATCAAACTCTAAATTCATCTTGTTTACTTGTACATAGAAAACAAAGTCACACTCTTCACTTTGCAAGCTTTGCACACTTCCTGTTTTGTTCCGTGATTGTGTGACATCAGTGGGACAGACTAGATGGCACCAAGACCCATTGATAGCGGTAATTCTGATGGGAAAGCTATAACTTAAAAGATTGAATGTAGCTGTGGTGCATCTCATGATCTAAGCAATGTGTGTAGTAACAAAATACTTGAACCTTTTGATATTCTATCTGCCAAGGAAAAACAAGTCATGTAACTCATTAGATCATTGATGCCAGTAATCAGATATTTCAACATGTTCAAGGACAAATAGAATAATGACTTTAGATTTAAAGACCTTTATATTTTTTAGTAGATCTCTAAAAGCAACAACAGCAGTTTTTGAAACATTTCTGGACACTGGCACACAGTAATTGTTTGATCAAAAATGGCTGTGGGAATCTTCAGATAATAACAATAAACAGACAACCAAGTACATCATTGTGCATAGGTTAACATTTATTTGATTACCCTTATGAATGAACTGTGTTAAAGTGAGGCCCGTTCATATATATATATCGGGGCACTAGTGACCCAGTCGTCTAAGGTGCCACAATTCGCTGTGCAGAGTTGCATCCTTTGGGCATGCCAGAAACCTTTGATTGTGGGTTCAATCCCCTTTCCCCCCGGTTATGTTTCTAGGTTTGTCAGCACCGTACCATTGCTCGTAGGTTTTACCAAAATGGTCAACATTGGAGACCTGCATCACTTAGGGCTTTCCTCCCACATAAAGCTGACACGCTGTGATACAACTGGACTACTGTTTAAGGATGTGTTAAAACAAACTCACACACTCACTCACTGACTGTAAACGTATGGTATGGTTTTATGAGGGGCTGTGGGGTAGTGTATTCAAATTGAAGACCTAGGTTTCGTTGCCTCTGTACAAAGTGACAGTGTGAAGCCAATGTTTGGGTGACCCCTATATTAAAATGAGATCTTGTTATCGCTTCCACTAAACAAAGATCTGATGACATCCCTTTATGGGTCACGACAGACCAACCTTTTGCTAACTTTGGCCAACCAATAGAATGACTGACAAGAAGTTGACATTAGCCAACGGCACTTGTTTCAAAGTGGCGACTATGCTTTGAAACATATTTTGACATGTCTCGATTAAAAATTTGAAAACTGAACAAAGGAACATTCTGGAATGGCTAATAGATGGCCTAGATTGTATGGATTCTGTCATAAAACCTGTAACTGTGGTTCGAAATACCCAGAGTTAAATCTTTTGAGGTTGCATGATTAGAAAATATATTCCGACTGTCACTTTCCTGATCTGGTAAGCGACGCTCTGATAGTCAGATGAAAGGTCGTTCTGATGTGACCTGAACTGGGATGTCCTTAGTTCTTTGTTTAGCTATTGTGAGACCTAAGATCTGATTTTAAGGCCACAATAAATAGAATAGATTTTCATCCATAATTTTTGGAAGTGAGACATTTAAAAATACATATTGAATCAGAATGTAAGTTTTTTTCTAAACTGATGAAGGCATCTGTGTACATTAACCTGATGGGATGAAGCACTGTCTGGTATAGGACTATAACAATAGTCTATTTCATCAAGTAAGTAAGGAAGAGAACAGAGAGAAACATCCAGTTTCTCTAGCTACTTAGGGACAGTGAAATGATGTGAAGTGTTTCTTTGTAAGAGGGGGGTGAAAATCTATTAAGTTATTTATTATGGCCTAATATACCTGGAATGTTTCGAAAAGGGGCGTAAATCCCTACCCACGGTAAATCAACTCACTCAAATTGTTAAGCCTCATTAGCATGATTAGATATGTCAAGACTCGTGAAGATCCAGGTCAGAACAGTAACCCAGAACAGTCTTCAGCAACCCATGCTTGCCGTCACAGGCGACTATGCTTGTCATAAGAGGTGACTGGTGGGATTGGGTGGTCAGGCTCGCTGACTTGGGTGATGCATGTCATTGTATCCCATTTCTGTGGATCAATGCTCATGATGTCAATCACTGGATTGTCTGGTCCAGACTCGATTATTTACAGACCGATATGTCAAAGTAGTGCCATTATGCGATGTATGGTCCTCTTTGTTGAAGTGATAAACATCATAAACAGCTTATGCTATTTGATGGAATCAATGTCTTTTTTCATGATAACATGACACAATGATTATCTCTCGTGCATGAGTGTGGAAATATCAAAGTTGTTCCTCGATGTGTATGTGATAAGTATAAGATAACTTGTCTCAAGACAAATGTCAACTTTTACTGTTTACCTATCTTTCACATCTTCAGGCAAGGTGTTTTACGTGAAGTTAAATTAGCATATATCTATTTATGACATGGAAATGTCGGAGAAGGCGATGATGATCAAACTATTTCTATTTTCAGCAACCACCATATCCAGAGGTATACCTAGCATATTATATCAGTGTATTGACCCAGCATATTTATCATGTTAATCATCATTCATATATCTTGTGTATATCATGTCAAGTTCCTTGTTTCTAAGACCATTATTGTCTTGTGAAACTGAGTGAAGGCTTTTAAGAAAGGACTAATAAGGTCACAATACAATGTAAGTTTCATATGCATTTCCCATGTGTTTCTGACCATCTCCATGGTTTAGAGGTAGAGCGTCCTCCGGAGAGCGGAAGGTCCGAGGTTTGATCCCCGACTGCGTCATGCCAAAAGACGTTAAAAAATGGTACTTGTTGTTACCCTGTCTGGCGCTCGGCATTAAGGGGCTAAAACAAGGACTGGTCGGCTCGGCTTCAGTATACTGTGTCTAAGTGGGGTATTCATGTTAAACTATGGCATGATATCTCATTTAGCTGGCACTATCAATCAGCATCACTCTGGACTATTACATGCAGCAACACATACACGCACGCGACGTTAAACTGAATTTCACCTCACCCATGTGTTTCTCATGTTACATCATGGTATGTCGATTGAAATTGGTAATGTGATTTCATGCTGGCTGTTTTGTAGCAGATGCTGTTCTTAAAACATGGCTCTGATTTGAAAAGACTTTTGAGTGCTTGAATTAATTTCTCGTGCAGCAAGTATAGTGTTTTAAAAAATGTTTGCAGTGTTTGTGAAGCTGGCTGCTTTTGATGGCATTGATCACAGTTTAAGTCACAACTGTTGGCTTGCTTGAAAAAGAAATTATTTACAGGCTGCCATAATCTGGCTGAAATATTGATGACTGTGGCATAGAACAACATTCACTCGCTCTCACATTCACTAGTATTGTTGAAAATGTAACATAAAGCAGTTACCTAAATAAGTATTTTTCAATCATGAACAGTTAATGTTACCAGTTTACAAGGGAAGATGAAGCCATCACATAATTGTTTTAAGGAGCATTGTAATATTTGAACCAATATTCCCAGTGTGAGAACCATGCACTCTCCCAACATGCCCAATAGCCACAACTTGGTACCAGCTTTGTTCCCACGTCAGGCTTACACCATGTACACCTCATCCCTGTTTTTCTTTCAGTTCGAGAACTTGATGGATGATGTAAGTACTCACAACCCCTCTTAGAGCTAAAGAAAATACTAGTGTTTCTGTATCCATGGTAACATGACCATACCTGCACTTCAATGCAGGGCTCAATTTAGGAACTTGATTTATTTGATGTTGACATGAAAACCTAGTTGCACCAGACAAAACCACATTGCACCCTGGTCCCATTAATTTATCAATATTGAAACATGTGCACATTATCTTGAAGTACCCACAGATTGATGTCAATCCCTAGAAAGCATGACAAATTACACATAAAACAGGGATTAGTGATGTAATAAGGTAAATAAATCTTAGAGGTATTGAGTGTATGTTTTCTATGATCCACACTTGTGTGGACAAATTTGAAAGATTTTGACGTGCACTAGGTGCATGTAGACATAAATATTAGGTTACATTTTTCAATAATAGGTTCAGTGGTGCATATTTTATATAGCTAAATCGAGCCCTGCAATGGATATTCTGAAATTTTAATACAGTTGTAAACATGGTAAATAGTTGTTGAGAAATCTTTGTTTAATGTTTTCTTTTTCTTACCAGTTTATGTCATGTATGGTTGGGCATGTTACCTGAAACACAAGTATTTATTGTTTTGGCCTTACACCACATACACTTTCCTCTTGTGTATTTCTACTGACTCAGGTCACTCTTCTTATGCTTGTGATGTTAATAAGAAGCTAATATACTGGAAGGCTTGATTTTCAGGTTGTACCTCCCTGTGGGGATTGTGAGTGTCCCCAGTACACCATGCTTGTCTCATCTTGTGAATTGGGGCGGTCGGGTAGCCTAGTGGTTTAAGCGTTTGCTCGTCACGCCGAAGACACGGGTTCGATTCCCGACATGGGTACAATGTGTGAAGCCCATTACTGGTGTCCCCCGCCATGATGTTGCTGGAATATTGCTAAAAGAAGCGTTAAAACATACTCACTCACTCATCTTGTGAATTACAGAGCACAAGTAGCCCCCAGTACCCTATGCTTGCCTCATCATTCGAATTACAAGGCACAACTTGTCTCAGTGCCCATGCTTGTTTCACTTTGGGAATTACAAGGGCATCATTCGTCCCTAGTACCCATGCTTGTCCCCCACATGGGAATAACAGTCCTGAATTCCCATGCATCATTGCATGTTGTAAGAGACTACTTAAATGTGGATCACATGGTTGAGGAGTGTGACTTGACTGATTGTGTCATCATACTCCAAAGACATGGATTAATGCTCATGATATCTACCACTGGTTTGTCTCGTGCAGATTTGATTTTTTACTGGCAGTGATACAGCTGGAATACTGCTGTCTGCATCAGAAAACAGCACTCAGGAGTACTCAGGAATTACACACCATGTCAAAGAACCTGTGGACAGTTATATTAACATCATCAAATAATTTAGATTTTGAAACATCCTATCCTAGTTATATCCTCCTATTGCTGACAAGTAGACACCCTTGATGCTAACAAATCATGAAGTTGAATACCTGAATGAATATAACAATTTTTAATATCCAATTTTTACCATATATATCTTATTAAAAAATATCATAGCACTTACTCAACATGCTAAACTTATTCCAAATGTTATTTTTTGGATAACCTGAACTGCAATCTTAACTTAGTCTAATGTTCCTTCTGTTGAACCCTGTTTGTCTGGATTAACAAATCTTTCTGATCTTCATGAAGTCAGTGTTACAGAATAATGCAGCCTCATTATAATCTGATCTTTTCCCTGATATGATACCTCTCTGTGTGAAGATCTGATGACACCTCCATAGAAGGTCATGTCAGCTGACCCCGGGGAGAACGTTCACCGCCCATTCTAAAAGAAGGATGTGTGGGTTCTTGAGCCAGTCAGGTGTCAATTTTCTAAAATGGTTCAGTTGCATTTTCATTCCACTTTGATTTGATACTTTAATTTGTACAAACGAAAACCACACAGAACTGACTATTCCTTTGATGGCACTCCGTTTAAGGTGTAGACACCACGGCGCCAGGTGTATAAATCATCCACACCAATATCATGGCATGGCCTTAGTTCTCTACATTCAAAGCTTACCGTTTTAGTTTGTTTTCGAGATACAGAAATCAGATATGCTTGTTTGAAAACTACGCTTATCTGTACAGAGAATTTAGAAGCTTTGATGCTGATTGGCTGAATAGAAAGTTCACTTGACCCAACCTCCTATGTAGGAGGGGCGGTCGGGTAGCATAACGGTTAAAGTGTTCGCTTGTCATGCCGAAGATCCGGGTTCGAATCCCAACAATTTGTGATTTGGGTACAATGTGTGAAGCCCATTTCTGGTGTCCCCCGCTGTGATATTGCTGGAATATTGCTAAAAGCAGCGTAAAACCATACTCACTCACTCACTCACTCCTATGTAGGTGTCTTTAGATCTTCTCAAAGTGATGTATAGTAGCAAAGTAAAAGATCTAATTTCATTGTTGCTTGTATATTTACAAGATATATTTCGACAATGCCACCAAGAATTGTGTAGGCACCAGTGGTTCAGGTCCAATAGGTTCTGGACTAACAGGGTTTCATTGTGAGGGTCATAATCATATTTGAAAACTATATTGTAGGTGAATGTGTAGAACGCCATCCATCATGTGTTGCATGTTGTTTGTTCCAGGAGCCTCAGGATGACATGAACCGGTGAGTGTTGTATGAAGATGTTGTACACTGTTGTAGTCCATGTATATAACAGTTGTAGTCAATTACACACGATGGGAAGACCCCGCTTTTTTAACATTTCCTGTCAGCATGATCTTGGTTCCCGATCTGTTCATTTTCCAGGACATTGGCTAATTGACGTCCAAAATGTGCAAAGATATTTTTTCATATTTCATAGAGATATAGAAGAATGTCCTATCAGAAGTTGATGAAATCTTAAAATGTCTTAATGCCATTTGTCTCCAGCAACATCCCTGCCCATACAGCAGGCTTGGTAGCCAGAATAAAAAAGATGCTTTGTCACATAAACTTCCAGAAGATCCTAGACTGAACTGTGAAAAGGCCCCCTGAGGCTGATGCTTAATGTATTTACCAATTTTGAACCTGGGAATTAGGTGGGTGACCTGGAGGTGTGTCACCTGACCCCATGATGTGGATCAGTGTTAAATCTATCAACCATTGGTTTGCCTTGGCTTGGCAGCCATAGCTGGAATTTTGCATAAACGTCAAGAATCCTATGATTTGGACTGAGTATGGTGTTCATACCTGTGCTCATTGGGGTCACAAAGTGGTAAACGTCTAGGACTGGCATCACCTTCCATGTTGTAATTGAAAACCTGTCTGAATTCCATGCAGGGTAGTAATGTCAGGTCTTGAAACATATCCTGGCACTATTCTCAAATACTTGTCATATGATTGTTTCCAGCTCAAATTCGAAATGGATTACAGTAACTATTTGTTGTAGACATGGCTATGAAACATGTTTCATTATCTTGATTGTGATTGAACTATTAGATTCAGTGATAAGTGATAAGTGATGTATATTTTGGATCATTTTGTTTCTATTCTGCAGTTGGAAGTTATATTTCATGTATTTTTATTTAAGCATTACATTATTTTCTCTGATTTCTTTCTTTAAACTTCTTACAAATTAAGACAAAAATCAGCCATAAAACCTGTTAAGATCAAATTGTGATCTTAATTGAGTTGTAAAGAACAACCCTGAGTTGTGACCTTGATGGTGATCTGAGAACAACCCTGAGTTGTGACCTTGAAGGTGACCTCAGAACAACCCTGAGTTGTGACCTTGAAGGTGACCTCAGAACAACCCTGAGTTGTGACCTTGATGGTGATCTGAGAACAACCCTGAGTTGTAACCTTAATGGTGACCTCAGAACAACCCTGAGTTGTGACCCTGATGGTGATCTGAGAACAACCCTGAGTTGTGACCCTGATGGTGATCTGAGAACAACCCTGAGTTGTGACCCTGATGGTGACCTCAGAACAACCCTGAGTTGTGACCCTGATGGTGACCTCAGAACAACCCTGAGTTGTGACCCTGATGGTGATCTGAGAACAACCCTGAGTTGTGACCCTGATGGTGATCTGAGAACAACCCTGAGTTGTGACCCTGATGGTGATCTGAGAACAACCCTGAGTTGTGACCCTGATGGTGATCTGAGAACAACCCTGAGTTGTGACCCTGATGGTGACCTCAGAACAACCCAGAGTTGTGACCTTAATGGTGATCTGAGAACAACCAAGAGTTGTAACCTTAATGGTGACCTCAGAACAACCCTGAGTTGTGACCCTGATGGTGATCTGAGAACAACCCTGAGTTGTGACCTTAATGGTGACCTCAGAACAACCCTGAGTTGTGACCCTGATGGTGATCTGAGAACAACCCAGAGTTGTGACCTTGAAGGTAACCTCAGAACAACCCTGAGTTGTGACCTTAATGGTGACCTCAGAACAACCCTGAGTTGTGACCCTGATGGTGATCTGAGAACAACCCAGAGTTGTGACCTTAATGGTGACCTCAGAACAACCCTGAGTTGTGACCCTGATGGTGATCTGAGAACAACCCAGAGTTGCGACCTTAATGGTGACCTCAGAACAACCCAGAGTTGTGACCTTGATGGTGACCTCAGAACAACCCTGAGTTGTGACCCTGATGGTGACCTCAGAACAACCCTGAGTTGTGACCCTGATGGTGACCTCAGAACAACCCTGAGTTGTGACCCTGATGGTGATCTGAGAACAACCCTGAGTTGTGACCCTGATGGTGACCTGAGAACAACCCTGAGTTGTGACCTTGATGGTGATCTGAGAACAACCCTGAGTTGTGACCTTGATGGTGATCTGAGAACAACCCTGAGTTGTGACCTTGATGGTGATCTGAGAACAACCCTGAGTTGTGACCTTGATGGTGATCTGAGAACAACCCTGAGTTGTGACCTTGATGGTGACCTCAGAACAACCCTGAGTTGTGACCTTGATGGTGACCTGAGAACAACCCTGAGTTGTGACCTTGATGGTGATCTGAGAACAACCCTGAGTTGTGACCTTGATGGTGACCTCAGAACAACCCTGAGTTGTGACCTTGATGGTGACCTGAGAACAACCCAGAGTTGTGACCTTGATGGTGATCTGAGAACAACCCTGAGTTGTGACCTTGATGGTGACCTCAGAACAACCCTGAGTTGTGACCTTGATGGTGACCTGAGAACAACCCTGAGTTGTGACCTTGATGGTGATCTGAGAACAACCCTGAGTTGTGACCTTGATGGTGATCTGAGAACAACCCTGAGTTGTGACCTTGATGGTGACCTCAGAACAACCCTGAGTTGTTACCCTGATGGTGACCTGAGAACAACCCTGAGTTGTGACCTTGATGGTGATCTGAGAACAACCCTGAGTTGTGACCTTGATGGTGACCTCAGAACAACCCTGAGTTGTGACCTTGATGGTGACCTCAGAACAACCCTGAGTTGTGACCCTGATGGTGATCTGAGAACAACCCTGAGTTGTGACCTTGATGGTGATCTGAGAACAACCCTGAGTTGTGACCTTGAAGGTGACCTCAGAACAACCCTGAGTTGTAACCTTAATGGTGACCATGTGGAAAGAGTAACCCAGAGTTGTGACCTTGATGGTGACCATGTGGAAAGAGTAACCCTGAGTTGTGACCTTGATGGTGATCTGAGAACAACCCTGAGTTGTGACCCTGATGGTGACCTCAGAACAACCCAGAGTTGTGACCCTGATGGTGACCTCAGAACAACCCTGAGTTGTGACCTTGATGGTGACCTCAGAACAACCCTGAGTTGTGACCTTGATGGTGACCTCAGAACAACCCTGAGTTGTGACCTTGATGGTGATCTGAGAACAACCCAGAGTTGCGACCTTGATGGTGACCATGTGGAAAGAGTAACCCTGAGTTGTGACCTTGATGTTGACCTCAGAAGAACAACCCTGAGTTATTGTTGTGGTTGAGATGGTGTTTCATTCACACACTGCATATGCTTGTCCTATAAGGAGACTATATGGATTGTATGTCAGGCTTGGTGATTTGGGTGATTGGTACCCCTATGTGTACCCCGACAGCGATATCACAATATCAATCACTGGTTTGTCAGGTCAGGACTTCCGTCTTTACAGCCAAACTTTATATTAGCCAAATTTGAACAAACAATAAAATCAATATTCAAACTCTTTTCACAATTGTATGCATGGTACTCATTGTATGAGTTAGTATACATAGTTTATTTTAATGAAATATGTACGACAGGTGTATTTCACGGTTATGTTCAAAGAATTTATCAGCAAGTAGATAATTGTTTAATGAAATGTTTGCACTATTGGCTCTCCCATCTGATTCTGATGCTGCACAAATTGAAGTGTTTGAAGGAAGACAGAGGTAGATAATGTAGTATTGTTGTAGACGATTGATGTAGTTGATATTCCAGTCTCAAACTATTTATATCTAATTGTCTACACTTAACTGATCACTTTTGCTTCGGGCAAAAGACCCTAATAGAATCTCTGTCTTTTTATCCAATAAGTCTGTGAGTAATGCCAACTAGCTGTATTAGGCTTGCTTGAGTTCATTGGGACCATCAAATGCCAGAAAACTGTTTTATGTTTTACTGGAGCTCATGAAACCAGAACACAGCCAGTAGGGGATGTAGACTTTTTATGCTTCTCTAAATGTCACCAAGATGTACTCGACACAGAGTTCGACAGTACCCATGCTGTTGAGAAAAAGGGTCCTGACTGATTTCAGTTCTTCTGTGAAGATGCTGGAAAACTGTTCAACTAAAATCATTTGAATGCGTATGTTTTCTTGCTAAACATTTTGTCTTTCTAAACCTCTCATTGCACCCACCCCGAATGCAGAGGACAGCTAGAGTTAACTAGCGGCCCTTTCACAGTTTCCAACTATGTCAAATGGGTAGGTGCCCAAACCACTCAACACTTGTTCAGTCCCACTGTCCATCCATTTATTCTTCTTTTCTCCTTTGTCTGCTGTCTATAGTCACATCATCCTCAATAATCCAGTGTATTATACGCCCATTTTAGTGTGATAATACCCTGGACCGATTCCCTTCATTTAGTTAGAGACTTGGCCGTCTCCTGTCACCAACTAAGCACTGGATTTCTCTCACTCAGTGTGATCTCATTGGGTGGCCATTTTTATTGTCATGTCTTCCAAATGTGGCTCAAAACAATAAAGCTATAGTAGCGAATAGGCCTGGGGGTATTTATCCAAATAGAAGGGAGATTAAATACACTGGATAATCGAGGATGTAGTCACAGCTGTAGTTTGTGTTGTAACCATGCATCAAGACAGCAGACATTAGCATCAATTTGTCAGCCATCTTAACAATGCTTATGAGGCACCTGTTGCAGTAGATACAAGCCAGACACGCTTTTCTCGATATGTGGCGCTCTGTGAAGTGTTGGCTGAAACACCTGTTACTCATTATCTGTGGTGGAATAGTTTAATAAAATGCCTTTATTGTAGAAATTGTTACAGCTGAAAATGAACATTAGTTAAAAACATGGAAAGAACTTAAATATTATCAAAAATATCAGCGACATAAAATCTCATTGATGAAAAATATATTTTCTCAATTTAACTATCTAATGGATATTAGGATGGATGATTATCATTGCAGTTTTAAAAAATTATACATTCGCTATCACTCTTTGGGGGATCCAATCCATTAGTCTATGAAATATATTGCACTTTGCTGTGAGTATGATTAATATGGTTCATAACAATGGCTGAATCATGGCTACAGATGGACAGTTGGCCTGAGGCACTGCCAGTTGCTCTTGTACATGATTTACGCAAATAAGAGAAATACTGTTTGACTTTATTATTACATCCATATTAGAGTTAGCACCAAGAGTAGGATTGGCTCTGGTAATCTGATAAAGAAGACACAGAAGATGTACTCAGGGGAAGTAACTGTGTAAAATGCAAAATCTATCACAAATCACTGTCAAAACATAATGATTTTTTTATTGGAAGATTACACGAAATACAGCTTTTCCACTGGATGAGAGGTTGGTCACATGACCGCGAAACTTCATAAGTGTGTGAATTATGTTTAAATTTACCTTAGTATCTATTGGATACATCTTTTCAATCACCTTTCAATAATCAGCCAATTAATCAGTGATGACTAACACAGGTTCATTAACAACTTCGGAAATCTCTCCCTTCACGTTTATTGTGTCGGCCATTTTAACGTCTTGTACTTGATGTAATTATTACGACGTGCTGTCATTGTGACTTACTTACTGAGGTAGTTCTTAAACTTTTTCATCTAATGAGGATATTATTTGAATCCATTTGTTGTAAAGAAACTACGAAAGATGTTCCTGTAGAACATGTTGAGCATACATACGCTCATGTCACTTCTTGTTTGGAGGAACTATTTTGTTCCGTGATACAGCTGTTTGAAATATGGCTATCAGTGTAAACATTTAGTCACACATACTAAATATAATTGCGTATAGGTCATGGTCTACATCCTTTGAGGTTTAAAAATAGTGATTTAAAAAATGAACCTTCATACTCCAATGAACTCACACAAAGTGAAAGTCAATTCTTAATTTGGCATTTTATAAGTCAACTTGCTTACATGATTTCTATGTTTCTCAATAATAATTACAGTAATGTTTGGTATCTGTCATGTGACACTGAAACTGTTGCCATGAATATCCGGGGAAGCATAGGTCTCCAGCAACCACAGTTTGCCGTAAACAGGATCGGATGGTCAGGCTCGCTGACTTGGTTGATGCATGCCATCGAATCCCAATTGCGTGGATCGATGCTCATGATGTCAATCACTTGATTGTCTGGTCCAGACCTGATTATTTTGCAGACAACCGTCAATTAGCTAGAATATTGCTGAGTGCAGCATTAAACAACAAACAAAACAAACTGAAACTGTTGCGTTTTTAAAGTGTTTGAGTATATTGACTAGGAGTTAGTTTTTTACTACACATTGGGGAATGGCATGCTGTAGCTGTTGTATTGTTTTTAGAATTAAAGTTTTGTTGTTTATTATTTGTATGATTTATTTTGTTCAGCCCGTTGACTGAACGTGAACGATTGCTGTTGTCCCACCACCAGTATGATGCAATTGTGCATGAACAAAAACAAGTTGATGCTGAAATTGATGCTAAGGTAATTGTCTTTTATGTTGAGTATTTTCGCATGTGCTCAGCTTTTTAACAAATGCTGCCCACGCTTTGTCAGATTTGTATCGTACTTGTGATAGTGTTTTTATTTAGCTCCTTTTGTCGTGCTGTGATGAAATGCTGTCAGGTGTTGTGATAAATGTAGCTGTTTATCTCGGTCCCTGTGGGGATTCTGGGACAGGATAGTTCCCTAGTACCCATGCCTGTCGTAATAGCCGACTAAATTGTGGATCCGTTGGTCACAATGTCTGACCAATTTGTGTGTCAATCTGTCAACCACTTGTTTATCTGGTCCAGATTTGATGATTTACAGGCTGCAATATATAGATGTAATATTGTAAACAACTTTCAGTCACTCATTCACTCACTCATTCACTCACTCTTGATTATGTTGTCCCGGGATGATCGAGTAGCCTGGTGGTTAAAGCGATTGCTCGTCACACTGAAGACCTGGGTTTGATTCCAGACATAGATACAGTGTGTGAAGCCCATTGCTGATGTCCCCCGCCATGATATTGCTGGAATATTGCTGAAAGCGGCGTAAAATCATCCTCACTCACTCATGTTGATCCCAGTCATTTTTAGAAATCCTTTTTTTTATTATATCTCTTGTGTGAACACTCAGATAATTGTCAGAAAACAAGGTTTAACCTAGATATTGATAAAGCCTATACATTTCTCATTAAAATCAGATATTTTACCCAAATATTATACCTCTCTGCATGAAAATTTAACAACCTCTCTATTGGAAGTTGCTTCAGAGGCCATTAATAATAATCACAAGGCGCAATCCCCAGTTTAGTTTAAATTGTTTTTGGCCTGTGAACATGGTAAAACAGTATGAGGTTCTAGGGTATGGGGGATGGGGGATGGTCTCTATGGGGGAATGTGGGTGACACAGAGAAAGAGAAAGAAAAAGTTATAAATTTGATCACGATTTAGGGGAGCGGTGATTGATTGTAGGGACGGGGTGTATGCCCTGAAGAAATGTAACATGTATGAGGGGAAGATGTTACATAAAATGAGGGTCAGCAAAATATACAAACTGATATATATACCCTAAAATAGTATTCTTTCTCCTTCTCTCACACACACACCCTTTCTCTCTCCTCCCCCACAAAAAACCCTATAAATGACAACCGGTAGTCGCTTGGTACATGTAGTAATCTTAGGTAATAAAACATTATTATGACTTGAAGTTAAGCAGATAAAGAGGTAAGGGATGAATAATATGTTGTCAGCAGGCGGATATAAGCTGTAACTGTACATTGTTATACATTTGATCAGTTGACAATGATTGATCATGTGAGGACAAAACTGACTCATAACTGTTATTTAATTAGAATTAGATATGTCTTACTCGGGCAAATACCGGCTCTAACTGTATGTGTTTGAGATGAGCATCAACTGTGCTGTTTGATAAAATCAAAGTTTACTTCAGCCACCATAGACATGGGAAAGTGATGGACATTGCTAAATATCAATTCTTTCAATGAAAAGTATTTTATTTCATACAGAGATGATCTATAAGAACAGAATTATAGTGTTGAAATGATAATTGTAACCAAAAAGAGCAGTTCATAATTTCATAATTTCAAAATGAAATATCTGTAGGCTATTTGATCAGTAGGGCTGGGACGAGTCCAAATTTAATACCCGGGTGCCCGAGCCGCTATTACCCGACCCTACCTGTGTCCCCACTGCGGTCTCAAGAGATTTTGATGGGTACAAAATGTCCGATTGGGAATAGTTTGGCTCTAGCCCTGGCAAAATGTATTTAGATACACATATAAAACGATATGGTCATGCATACACTGAAGTTGACTGAAGTTTTATCTTTATTCAAACCTATAAACGTTAGAAGGAATAGGCGCCTAGTTCAAAAGAAATGCCAACATTAAGGACATGTAGTGTAACCATAGAGTTCTAGATAATTTTTGTCACTAAACAATATATCACGTGACACACCATGGGTCCAGGTAGTCCTGTGCATACCCTGGTCCTCAGTACCCACACAACCCGAATACCCAAGCCACCCGTCCCAGCCCTATTGATCAGGTTGATTAATAATCTACTATGGTATTCAATTTATCTACATACGGTAGTCCCATCAATTTATGGTCATTAATACGAAAGCTAACAAAATATACCTGTTATTCTTTTGAATGATGATTGATTAGAAGTATTGTATACAATGGATATTGGCCACAGCAAACCCCTTAAACAGAGATCAAAGTCCTTGACAAATTAGTACTAGTACATTTAACTGTCCTCAAACATCCTGATCTTTAAACTGTTTCCACAGGTACATGTTCCACATCATCGACCATAAAAAGTATTGAGCTGCACAGATTTATAAACATATTTTACCTACCTATACTAATTGGTTTCCAAAGAATCTGCTTCTGTCATAAATATTTTTAAAAAAAAATTCTCCTGAAAATCAAATGGTTATTCCTTAAGTTGTTGGCATGGGATGTTACCTAATTGATAAGTCACTGGTTTGCCTGGTCCAGACTTGATATTTACAGGCTGCATATAGCTGGAATATTTCTGAGTGAGGCATCAAACAACAAACAATCTGTAACATAAGGTTATAAGTAAAAAGGTGTTTGCAGTGGCCAGTGACTCAATAAGGGATAGAAAAAGTCAAGAAGTTTGTAGTGTCCGAGACCATCCAGACAGATAAAAATATATTTACATTAATTTTTCTTTTATTGTTTTCTGGCTCGGGATGGTCTAATATGTAAAAAGGAAAAAAGTGTCTGCCTGATAAAATATGCTAATGTAAGAACGCCTATGTTCAAGTAGCTTGACAATGATGCTGGAGACATGTTCAGGCTAGTAATCTGGTACACTGGCACTGACTGAAATAACAGAATGTTGATTTTGTCCTCTTATTCTAATCTAATGAAAAGCTGCAAACACAGTTTAATTATACTGTATGATAAAAAAAGAAAATGTGCATTAAAAAGTCAAACTAAATATGATAGGTTGAACCTTGTACTATTTCTGTTACATCACTGTTGCTTCAACACTGGTGTTTCTCTCATTTACTTGATCTAAGGTTGATAATCACCCAAAAAAACTTGAATTCAAATGTCAAAAATCTCATGTGATAACACATACGTATCATTTACGTAATTTGACTTTGGAAGATAGTTGATTGTGACATGAATGGAAAGTGATGGTTAAATGTTTTAGAACTAATCACCTTTTAATCACAACCATCCTCCTCATTTCTTTCTTGTTAAATGTGAAAAACTATTAAAATGTAAATCGGTAACCATGGTTATGTCAGCCTCGTCAGCAGCCTATGCCATCATGTTTGGTGTTCCAATGAATAAGTTGGTCATTTATTCATAATACACTAAATGAAGAGAATTCTATTTGATTGATATAGCCATTTTTTCCGGAGCGTTTCCCTCAAAAGCCATGAAATTAATTAAATTTGAATTTGATCGGTGTAAAGAAAGATTACAAAATTATTCTAGTTTGGCGTTCATGATGTGTTCAATGAATATTTTTCACGGAATGTTTAACTCAATATCAGATGTCTGTTGCAAATTTAAGATATTTGTCAAATCTTTTTGAAAAGGCTAGGAGCAAATAAATAAATCACAATTTAACTCTCTCCTCTGCTCTTCTTAAATGTTTTTGTTCAGTCAACAAAGTCATATATAATTTAAACTGCAATTGGTCTCTGTAGCACACTTAGTTGTAACCATGGTAACTGAATTTGTAAATTTGTAAGCAAGATACAATTAGGAAAAATCAAATTAGTTCCAAACAAAACTCCAAATTTCTTCATATTGTACAAAATACCTGATCTGCATTCAACATGTTCAACATAATGATTGCTATAAGAAGAAAATTCAAATTTAAATTGGCATATTTTGAAAAAGAATCCACAAGTTCTTTCTGTTTTTTGTGTGTGGGATATCAAACACAATTCTCTTTAACAACTGTAATTTATTTGTATATGAAGTTTCACAAAAAAGTAGAATTTATTGATGACATAAGCATGTACATTACATTGTCACCTGTGGTCACACGGTGCTCTCACTTGTCTGTCTGTGTGTCCTTCCTGCTCTAGCTGGCACAACAGGAAGAAGAAATAGAAAGGGAGGAGGAAGCATATTATGAAGCCAAGCGCGAGGCAGCTCGCATTACCAAACTTCAGCGGGCCAAGGAGGCCGCTGCCAAAAAGAATGCCACCACCAATGGTCCACGGTCCTGGCTGGGAGATGAAGACGACTGGGAAGTGTGAGTCTTGTTACTGAATTTTGTATTTTCAGATCCTCTTCATTTTTAATGTTGGATGTTATTTTAATTTTTCTGTGCAGAGTTGCATCCCTTAAGTGTGCCAAGATCTGCTATTCATTGGTGTGAAACCCAATCCACACCGTGCCTCTTGTTGGTTCCCCATTGTAAAGGTCAATAATCTCTTTCATTTTGACCCTGACCCTCCATCTGACATTAAGAATGTTGGTTGGTAGAATTGTAATGACTGCAACTCAAACTTTCATGTATGGAAGTATTCTACAACATCATTCACAGATATGAAGCAGTGATGGTGAGAATTGTAGACTAAACGACAAATCTTGAAAAGACATGGCACTATATATGGAACAAATCTGGCATAGGTTCCCTTTATGTGTCATTTTGTGTATAGCTTACAGTAAAACCCATTGGGAGTAAACAGGGTTTTACCTTGACTAAGGATCCCCAATAAGTTATTGATGGGTCCTTGCAGGAAATATGAGGGTCCTGTAAAGTAAAAAAGTAGTCTATGTATGTTTTGATAATTACTTGAGAGCCTGGAATGAATCAATGACGATGTGGACAGTGACATATCAGACACCAATAACTGCTCTTGATAAGCTGTGGCTACCATGAATATTATTTTTTTCTGTGTCCTATCTCAACATATGTGCGTAACATAAATTCCTTGAGTAAACCTGTATCATACTTTAATCTGTGTCATCACTGCATTGTAACCTCGTTGAAGGTCGTCAATTTTACTGCATATCAGAAATTGAGGGAAATGTGTTATGCTTATATTTTTATAGATTAGTGAAATAAACAGAACACTAACATATATACTCTATATATATACTAAATATATTTTATGTTGTCTTAGATAAACACTTTATTCATATGTGGTTTAATATTTTAAGAAGTTAATCACTATTTATTATCCTTTTATCATGTGTTTTAGCTAAACAGTTAATGTGGTGAATGATTTCCTATATGTTTATATATATATATTAAAGAGAGAATATTAAACAAGTGAACCTGGTGTGACAAAATATAGTCCCTTCTATTTTCATTTGAACTGTCTGTTAGATCATCTTAGAAAACGGTAAATATAGTACAGACCAATGACAGACCATTGGACAACCTCAAGCTGACATGCCATTGTATGACTGATCAGAGTGGTGTAAACATCTTTTTCCTGAGGCAAGGGAGTTAACATGGCTAACTGACTAATAAAGTCTAGTTTCCACCCTTGCCGAACTAGGCTTGAATTATGAAGTTATTTTTTGGCTGCATAGTCCAATCAAAATGGTGTAACAAAATCGACATCTGTTTCGTAAACTGCTGTGCAGGTTTCGGTTGATTGCAGGATTTGCAAAGCATGTGTATTGACAACTTGGCATCAACAGATATTTTTCCAAATCTTTACGTGTTTTCAATCAAGGTGCTCACATGATTTGATTTACTTCTTGAAGTAGGACCCGGTTTATTACAATATTGATCTTGAATATCGATCAGATCATCTTCTATGAGAGGTGGTTTCTGATTGGTCAGTAGGAGGGACATAGAAGGGATAACTGGTAATAGCAACTGGTGGAGCTACAATCGAGTCCAGATATTCCAGCCTCCCTTCCTTTCCTCCCTCCCTCCCTCTCTCACTGACTGACTGACTGACTGACTGACTGACTGACTGACTCACTCATGTTCAGAACATGAATCTTATTTGAAATCCCTAGCTTCTCAAAATCCTGTTATGTTATTTCTTGGAAGCAAGGTTGCTAAAAGATACATAACACCAGCTCTCATGCACTCAATATGTGGAGATGTATTTTGCTTTTATTTCCAGTGCTGGTGGTGAGGATGATTTTGAGATCTTCTTAGCAAGTGTGAAAGCACGCTCCCTCGCCGCTCGTGCACAGCTGAGGCAAGGTATGTGCTGTGAAGTTAATGCATCTCCAAGCTGGAATGAGATGCTCTGTATCCTGTTCTGTTTTGTGATGACTGTTTATCCTGAGTGGAATCTGGACATTCTTGTCATATCAATCTCATTAAAATGAGATCGTTTATTCTCTGACCTTTCTGCGTGAAGATCTGAGGACATCTCCATATAAGCTTGTGTAAGGTGAACTCTGAGCAAACTTTGACTGCCCAGTCTAAACGATAGATGTGTTGGTTCTGAATGTACTGGCTTTAGATTTGGGCGATGGGAAATACACACAAAGCACAATTATGCCTTCAATGGTACTCCCTTCAGGGTGTAGATGCCATGGAGGTCAGAAATGACAGGATGTATAAAATATCTACGACATACTGGCGCTGACTTCGTTATGTATTATGTACGTAGGAGAAAGGTCTTTCAAGTTTGTTTCCGAAATACAGAAGTCAGATATGCTGGTCTGAATACTTTGCTCACTTATTCCGAAAATGTAGGAGCTTTAACACCGATTTGCTGATCAGAAAGTTCATCCGATGCAACCTCTACAGGAGGTGGCCTCCTATCTTCATGTCGTGGAGTATCGGATCAGAATGAAAGATCGGATGTTAATAAGGTTGTTGTATGACAGTCAGACCATCCTTGATTATCTAACGTATTATATCCACATGGGAACTTGGGTTGGAAAGGTTCAAAGCAACCTGTGCTGGTTGTAAGAGGTGTGTAAATGGATTGGGACCATTAGGTGATCAGGCTGTGTGATAGGTCATCATACACCGATAGCGTGGAACTAATATCAGTCATTGGTTTGTCTGGTCCAAACATGATTATTTTCAGACCACTCTCATACATGAACATACAGACAAATATGTCTTTTGATCAAGTGCTTGTCTTGCCAGAAAGAGCAAGTCATTTGTAATTAGTTTTATATTAAATGTGGCGTTTTTGTTCAAAGCAATATGTCAGAACATTCTGACTATTATCATGTTATATGAATGGTAGTTGTATTGTAAATATCATATGTTAGGAATAAGAGTTAGATATCATATGTTAGGAATAAAAATTATATATCATATATGTTACGAATAAGAATTAAATGTCATATGTTAGGAATAAGAATTAAATATCACAAGTTAGGAATAAAAATTATATATCATATATGTTAGGAATAAGAATTATATATCATAAGCTAGGAATAAACATTATATATCATATATGTTAGCAATAGAAATTATATATCATACATATTAGGAATAAGAATTATATATCATATGTTAGGAATAAGAATTAAATATCACATATGTAGGAATAAGAACTATATATCATATGTTAGGAATAAGAATTAAAAATCATATGTTAGGAACAAGAATTAAATATCATGGTAGGAATAAGAATTATATATCATATATGTTAGAAGTAAGAATTATATATCATGTTAGGAATCAGAATTATATAACATGTTAGGAACAAGAATTGAATATCATATATGTAGGAATAAGAATTATATATCATATGTTAGGAATAAGAATTATATATCATTTATGTAAGAATAAGAATTATATATCATGTTAGGAAAACAAATTATATATCATATATGTTAGAAGTAAGAATTATATATCATATGTTAGGAATAAGAATTAAATATCACATATGTAGGAATAAGAACTATATATCATATGTTAGGAATAAGAATTAAAAATCATATGTTAGGAACAAGAATTAAATATCATGGTAGGAATAAGAATTATATATCATATATGTTAGAAGTAAGAATTATATATCATGTTAGGAATCAGAATTATATAACATGTTAGGAACAAGAATTGAATATCATATATGTAGGAATAAGAATTATATATCATATGTTAGGAATAAGAATTATATATCATTTATGTAAGAATAAGAATTATATATCATGTTAGGAAAACAAATTATATATCATATATGTTAGAAATAAAAATTATATATCATGTTCGGAATAAGAATTATATATCATATGTAAGGAACAAGAATTAAATATCATATATGTAGGAATAAGAATTATATATCATATGTTAGGAATAAGTATTATATATCATATGTTAGGAATAATAATTATCTATCGTGTGGTAGGAATATGAATTAAATATCATATGGAGGAATAAGAATTATATATCATATGTTAGGAACAAGAATTAAATATCATATGTAGGAATAAGAATGATATATCATACGTCAGAAATAAGAATTAAATATCATATATTTAGGAATAAGAATTATATATCATATGTTAGGAATAAAAATTATATATCATGTTAGGAATACGAATTAAATATCATATGGAGGAATAAGAATTATATATCATATATCAGGAATAAGAATTATATATCATATGTTAGGAATAAGAATTATATATCATATGTTAGGAATAAGAATTATGTTATAATTATGCAATCCTTTGGTCACACCGATTTTGTATTCCTAATATATCCAAAAATAATTGAAGGTTGTAATCTCCGTAATGTCTTTTTTAAAATAATCAATATTTAAGATGTAATCATTCTTAATGAAGCAGGTTTAAAAACCGCATATTAATTGTTTGAGCGAACTTGCCCGATTTATCATATACTGCATCATGACTTGTCATGTTTGTCTACCGAATCATCCACATTTCATAAAAACCTTATCTAACCATAATGGGAATGTTAGTCAAAAGTGTGTTGATCAAGAAGACATTGCAAAAATGGAACAAAAAGGTAGTTTCTGCCAGGTGACCTTATTTGCATATTTATCAGACTTTGATATCTAGTTTTATCAGATTGGTTTATTGCATTGATAACACAGTCCATTATGTGATAAATCCTGTGATGATGGTGGTGAGTCTGGAAGTTTATGTGATGTGATGATGAGATCATGGTGCTGGCTGATATGATGATGTGATGATGAGATCATGCTGGTGGCTGATATGATGATGTGATGTGATGATGAGATCATGGTGCTGGCTGATATGATGATATGATGTGATGTGATGATGAGATCATGGTGCTGGCTGATATGATGATGCGATGTGATGTGATGATGAGATCATGGTGCTGGCTGATATGATGATGCGATGTGATGGGATGATGAGATTATGGTGCTGGCTGATATGATGATGCGATGTGATGTGATGATGAGATCATGGTGCTGGCTGATATGATGATGTGATGTGATGATGAGATCATGGTGCTGGCTGATATGATGATGTGATGTGATGATGAGATCATGGTGCTGGCTGCTTGATGATGTGATGTGATGATGAGATCATGGTGCTGGCTGCTTGATGATGTGATGTGATGATGAGATCATGGTGCTGGCTGATATGATGATGCGATGTGATGTGATGATGAGATCATGGTGCTGGCTGATATGATGATGTGATGTGATGTGATGATGAGATCATGGTGCTGGCTGATATGATGATGTGATGTGATGTGATGATGAGATCATGGTGCTGGCTGATATGATGATGTGATGTGATGTGATGATGAGATCATGGTGTGGCTGCTGTTATGATGATTGCAATGATGCTGATCTGATGATGGTGTTTGGCTCGCAGGTTCTGGTGATGGTCAGAGTTCGTCCAGTAGTACTGCCCATCGGGACAAAACTGAAGGGTCATCTCTTGACCTTGAGTGGGAACATGAAGCAGGTAGGTAGACAATGATGGCAGTTGTTGGAAGCTCAAACAAATTAAAGACATCACTCACACATAGTGAAATACATCCTTTAATTGATTATATTGTGCAAGGATAAACCTACTTTTTCTTTTGCAGGTGTTGTTCCTCAGTTACGACAGAGGTCCTCCACAGAAGAAAACCTGGTAGGCCTTACAAAGGACAGCCCCATGAACTCAAACGACCTTGAGTGGGACAATGACTTTGTAAGTGCAGAAGAATTAGAAAAAGAACAATTGATATCACATTCCAATGTGCGGTGATAGTGGTGTTGCTAGACATTCTGCAAGAGAATTGAAACCATGCATTTAGAGACATACCATTAACAAGGACCCCAGTCAAAGGTCAAGTCAAGCTGTCAAAAGTAGGTCAGTGACCTTGACCTGCATTCAAGATATGACTTTGACCTATATATCTCAGATACGGAGGATGTGATTTCAAGCTGACTTTTACATGTAAATATTCAGCAGCACAAGGAACAGAAGAAACATTCCAGTATGGATATAGGACAACATGTGGACCATGTAAAATAATCAATGTTGTGATGTGGCAAGGAGAACAACACTCTCATCGCCTTCTATGTGCCTGGCCTTGTGAACACGTGTGTACAAGCTGATGGATGACATATGACGATTCACTGGTTGGATACGTGCATATCATGTAATGATAGCTGTGTGTATATGTGGAACATTCTGGGATGAACGTGAATACTGAGCCATGTTGTACAAATGCTGTCTGTTTGATGTAGGTAGTGCTTGATGCCAGGCGACCAACCGTGTATTCACTTGGGAGCATCTGCTGAGTCTGAGGATGAATGCTGGGATTATTATTATTATTATTAATTATCAATATTATAATTATTGTTCTGTTAAAGTGTCATTGATATGTAGTGCACTGCTTCCATGAAAGATGAAGGGATCATGTTCTTAGTGTGGTCTTAATGGGGATAGATTTAAGATTGATTTAGTATTCTAGGGGGCCTGGAATGTTGTTTCCTGTCCTTGCTTCAAGACATGTTTTTATTTCCTCTAAATATATATAGGCAGAGCCAAGCAGCCTTTGTAGACCCTTCCACCCATGTGAGGACATCCAGTGGCCAGATCTTGAAATGAAGCACTGTATGTGAAAGGGGAACATGTAGGGTGTGGATCTGTCAGTGGGTAGGATGCTGTTTGATGTACTAGTATTTGACTGAGTGGGGCTGGGCTGTTGTAAACCTAGAGAAGAATGTATGGAACATTCCTTCCAACTTACATTTACCTGAGGGAAGGACGTTAACTGACTGTAAAAGTCCAGTTTCCACCCTTGCCGAACTAACCTGGATATTTGTGGCTCGATTGTAACACCACCAGTGGCTATTATGAGTTATGTCCCTTTTATGTCCCTCCTACAGGCCAATCAGATTCCACCTCTCATATCTCTTGCATTTGCTTCAAACAAAATGGCGGCACCAAGTCAAGACAATCTGATCAATAAGCGCGATCTTTATTGTAATAACACAGGTCTTACCATGCAAAATGGATTAGATCACTTGAACACCTTGACTAAAAACATGAAAAAATTTGAAACATATCTGTCAACGCAGAGTTGACAGTACACATGCTTTGGAAATCCCCCAATCAACCAAAATCTGCACTGAAGTTTACGAACCAGATATCAATTACAGTACACGATTTTGGTTGGACTATGCATAGACTTGTTCGTCAAGTCAAAATGTAACTCCATAATTCCAGCCTAGTTCGGCAAGGGTGGAAACTGGACTTTTATAGTCAGTTAAACCCCTTGCCTAGGGAAGATGACCAGTTAATGATATATCATAGAAAGTTCTTAATTATTGCATTTCGTAGAAACTAACCATGAGTGATATTAGGTGTTCTTCATATCGCCCAGATGTCTTTTCAAAATATTGCATTCGATGTCAATGAAAGTTAAATTGAAAAAAAGAATCTCAATTTTTAAACAGCTTAAAAAATGTAATACACTACACCACTTTTGATAAGGATAATAAGGAGGGGTGATGTCCCTATCACCAGTTGAGTGGTATAATGGTGGGCAACTGATGTGTGTTGATTTTACAAGAAACAGATGTGGAGTTAATGATGGGTTAAGGGTAGAAAGCAGCATTGATCTCATCTTTCATGGCCAACTTCCAAGTAGCTCTACTCCTCTGTGACAAGAAGCAATAGCAAATTTATTGTTATCGTTGTTGACATCTATTATCATGATTATGAGACCATGGTCTTATTGCCTTTGTTACATGTTTTTATATCTTTTAGAAGTTCTGATAATATGTTGCTTTTTTGAAGACAAGACCACTGTAGATCTCCGTGGTTCTGTTGTTCCTGGTAAGTCAGTGGAGCAAGTATTATATTCATCAGGAGTCTAGTTCTGTAATCATTTCACATGCTCTGGTCAAGATAAAAGGACTGCACCCAAAATAACATTTAACATGTTTAATGCCAAATTTTGCTTTCCTTCCACAGAGCAAAATGATAATTAGTCCAATTATTTCGCCATGCAAACAGGGATACAGCTTTTTGAAAAAGGAGGGATGGATTTTGTGATTTGTCAATTTATAATTAGTTAGTAATTCAGTTATTTTGTTGAAAATATTTCACCAAATGAGTTGTAGGTTTTCCAATAGAATTTCAGGATTTAGATGGCTGGTTATTCCTGTCTGCCATGTTGAATGGGTTGACCATGTTGACCATAGTCTTGTAGACCTTTTCACAATATTTGCAGAGAACAGTGGAAACATGGCAGTGTAGGCATGGTAACCAGAGCAATGAAAATATTGTTACACGGAATGTATATAGCATTACAGTGTATTACAGACAAATATTGTATTTATCAACATTTCTGGTCTGTGTGATTAGTTTGCTTGTGTATGAATGAAACCTGTTGCGCCAAGCTGAAGGTATTTCTGGCGGGGAGATTGGGTGATGGGAGAGAATGTTGAGGATTTTTGTGATGAAAATGAAACTTCATGAATTGTTAAAGCATAGTTACATGATTAAATAACATAATTGGTTCTGATTGGATTTTTAAATGAAATAAACAAGAAAAAAACACTTTGGAAAAAAATATTTATTGCCTTGTGATGGAGATTATTAGTGAATAATTGATATCTCTAAAATAATCTTAAATATGGTTGGTAAGAACATTGTGTGAGTTGAATAAATGGCAAAAGAAATCATCTGCTCATCTGTTCATAATCAAATGTGATTGAATAAGAATGGCAGACAATACCCTATGTAGTATCCATCCAATCCACTAAATGGATCTTCCTGGTCTGATGAGCTTTAGGGCCAGAAATAAAATAGTGGTTCAAGTAACCATGGTAACATACCCTTGACCAAAGCAGTAGGTATAATGATTGTTTTATTTCCAGTTTGGTGGTGTTTTATCGTCCTCATACATGTGTGTACAATATCTGAACATCACACAAAGTCCTAATTCACCTACTTCTGCCATTCTAACAGGATTCCTGAAACAACTGTTTTTTTGTGCCAAGTTTTGTTTTACATTTTACAAAGCAAAATGTAACTTGAGAATGGTGGTCTTGTTTTGTTTGTAATGCAAGTACTGCAAGTATATAAGGTCATAGCCAAGGCGAGAGACTGGCACTGAGACAGGGATATATGTGCCATCGGAATCTGAATTATTCAACTCAACTGGAAGGGATTAGGGATCTATCTCGACCCGCTCAGAGGCTTATATTCGGCTCTAAGACTGAAGCAAATGTAGAATTTCTCAAATTAGAATTAATTATTTCCCAATTCATGCTTTGTTGAGGTGAATATAGAGGAAGAGGCTATCATGTTTAGTTAAACATTCTTGCATTGAATCGAATGTTTAAATTCAATGTTAAATTATCTGTTAATTTAGGAAAACAAGAACTGTAAAAAAAATCCCTATTTTTAAAAAAACAATTTTTCCCAGTTTGCCTTCAAACATGTCCAAGAGCACTTAGTTTAGAATCAAGATAAATCCCTGGTTACACTGAGATGTTGGAACCCTTTCTGAGACCTGTCTGTGTGTTCGATTTTTTTTACTTTGTCCACGAACATTCGTCAAAATGTCACTACCCAATTACGCCACTAAGTTTAATAAATTTTTGTTTTACTAACTATTCCACGCACTTGGGGCCTTGATGGTTGTCAAGGTCAAATCTAGTGAACCTCAACAAAGAAAGTACTGCAGAGTTTCCTGGCATTCAACCTCACTCAACCCCCATCCCAGTCTCCACTTTTAAAAAAAAAATATCTCCCCCCCCCCCCCCCCCCCCCCAGCCATAAGACCACAACAAAAAACAAAATGTCTTTGTATTGAGTACCTGTGAAAGTCCTTTTCTGATTCTCAAGTTTAAATGGTTTGATTGCAAATACCTCTTAATAAATTTGAGTATAAGTAAATGCTCACTGCATACATTGTTATTATCCCAGTCTATGGATCAGTGTGCTCTCAAATTTCATTCTCAGCTCCCTTGGGAGTACACTATTAAAATAAACAGGTCATAGATCTCATATTGGTGTCTTTTGATTGAGAATGGGTTTTGGTTTATGTAATAGGTTTTCTTTTTAATATGGATCCGTGTTTCATGTTATTTAACATTTATGCAAATGATTTTTAGATTTGTTATTTGGGAAGTGTTCAAGTTGCAAAAATGGCTTTCTGCTGAGAATATTATCTTTCTTATTGTGACAATGAAGAGTTTTGATCTTACTCATTGAATGAAAAAAAAACAACCCACATTAATAGACCATGTTAGACCAGTTTCTTTAGTTTGTGCTCTATGAATAAGTCATCTTGAAAATATATTTCATGAATGCACGAGCAAGTCATTCCTTGTGTTTGGAAGAGTGTTGAAAATATGTAGCTTTTCTGACGTAAAGTTTATAAACATGATAAAGAAAATCAAAACATCTATTTTCCCAAAAACCTATTACTTGAATGCAAAAATTAATTGCTTTGGGTTGCTACACTAAAGGTTAAAGTGTCAGTGTATGTATTAAAAAATATGATAGTTTTTGCATAATAAGGAATCATGCTTGTGACCTTTTAAACAAAATGTAGATATTGCAACTTGATGTTCAAACTAGTTTTCTAATCCGAAAAGATCTGAAGATTGAGAAAAACAAATTTTAACTCTCTTTTTTTCTGATTGTGGTTTTTAGCTCCTGTTGTTCAAATCTGTACACAGTAAAATTTCTAATGTGTCACTGTTATGTGTTCTTGGCTGAGTTTAACAGAGAAGCCTTTGTGTCACAACAGTCATAACTCCCACACTTTAACATTGACTTCCGATCGTCATAGCTCTTAACTCTCTTGTCGGACAGTCCCTGCACAGTTTACCAATAGTCTATTAGAGGTTCTCCAATATCTGCAGGACACCCAGTAATTGCCAGACAGTTGTAAGTACTGGTCCAGTTGACTCAGATTAAAACAAACCTCTGGTTACAATTAGTGATCTGGTCTGTGCAGTCTGCCCCCTGCCTCCTTCCTGCCAACCTCACAGGCACAAATTAAGTTTGGCCACGACAAAACTCAGCACTTGTTAATGGGATTTTCTATAATGAACATGAACAAGATGATGATAAATTGTTGGAATGCAGAACCAAATAAGCAAGTTATTAATTTCTTCCTGACCATTGACCAGTGAATGAAATTACATTCAGATTACATACAATTTGATTATTGTAGGTATTGCGAGAAGGTGGTGTACACATATTGCCACATTAATGTATGTTTCTCCATACAATGTCTCCCTTGTTAAAATCTGGATAATTTTGAAAATGAAAAACCTTGCTAAACCCAACAAGAAGCAACATTTCTTGTAAAGGACGGAAGTCTTGAAAAGTTCATGTGAGGAAGCTCTCCAGTTTCCCTTTCTGTATGTGCATAAGCAGCAGATGTAATAAAAGGGGGATAGTATTTGGGGGTGCCTTAGTTGGGAATATTTAAAAATGAGCAGTTCCTTTTTGCCTTGAACTAGGATCATAGTTGAGGTGTTGTAATCATACATTCCAGACCCCTCTAACTTTAGAGAGTCCTTTGTCATTTATTGTTTGACAGTTTCAACAATTATATGTTTCTGTATTAATTGAAACAATAACAGTTTGATCAGGTTTTCAAAATCTAGCGACCACAGACACAACAAAAGTCTATTAATGTCTCTACTTCTATTGTATACTTCATCACATTTATACAAACTACTGTTCAAAACGGCTTTAAACCAAACTCACTCACCTTTATACAAAGATAAGCACTCCTTGAAATATTTTTCCAAATGGCCAAAGACACTTACATTTTGCTCTTCTCATTCATATGTTGATACTATGTATTTATTATATAAGTTCTACCCATGGGGAACATTGTATTCTCTCTTACATGAATACATGCTCATTGCATTCCTGGATACAGATTTATTGTTAGTCTAAAACCACAGGGCAGGGTAGGGTTTAATTATTGAAGATTTTGAGTCAATTACATCCATCTTGAAATTTCATTTCCATTTTCTTATATCACAAACCCACAGCAATCAGCATATCCTGGTAGCAAAGGGACTCATCCCTGTACAACCCTTGTCCATCCATGCACTAAGTGCAACTGCTGTGCAGAGTTGTGTCCCTTTATGACAAGGGCAAGGACGCACTGGTCAGTGGTTATAATCACAAGTTACCTGACTACAACCCATGGCACTATACCAGCGCTCATGGGTTTCATACAAGTGTTTGCAATAAAATAACTAAAATACTGTTCAATGCACAATGACATCAAACTCACTCACTCACCTATCTTATATTTGGGTTGTTAGTCGTGTTGGTATGTCTGTTAAGTATTACATAGTACTATATTTAAGATGAAGATGGTGATAGTGTTTCGAAAGTCTTGAATATTAATAGGATTATTGAATTTAACATATTTTATTAATATGGTAATCATGTTTATGCTTCTGGTAGATATGACATGTGTTCATGCCTTGAGACGTGACTATGAGGTTATTAAATTGATTTCTTCCTGAAAAGCAGACAAACAAGTGCCTGATGCATGTTTCTTCAATAATTCAACGCACAGTTTATCGATCTGTAATGACATACAAGGGATGTGGAAAACTGGCATCCTGGTATACTGTTCCCCCCAGAGATTCCTAGGAACATTTGTGTGTGGTGTTTTCAGTGGGTTTCAACAACAACTGTTATAGAGTCATGAGCCAGCATGGCCAGTGCAGGGTCACATGTCCCACAAAAAACATTGTCAGAAAACTACAAATCCTCTTAAATAGCATCACTATTGTATGTATATTGATATTCTAGAAGTGTCTGCTATTTTATTTTGTCATAGTAGTTTATAAAGTTAAAATCTTGTGGTCACAATGTGTGACCTGGCTGATTGTGTGTCATTGTGTCCCAGTGGGCATTTATTTTATGTTCATGCTTTCGCTCACTGGTTCGCCTTGCCAAGAAGGGATGGTTTGTTTACAGGTAGCTGTGATACAGCTGGAATATTGCTGACTGACGTGCAACAAATCA